TCGGTGGCGGTTGCGAGCGAGAAGCGGTCCAGCGGCCGCGTGGCGGCGTACGAGGCGTTGGCGAAGCTGGCCGAGGCCTTGTCCAGCACCGACGAGAGGTAGCCGCCGTATCTGGCCTTGGCGGCCGGGTACTGCGCCATGGCGTATTCAAACGCCTGCGCGAGGATGCCGCTTTCGAGGGTGCTGCTTGCCGCGCCCGAGTCAACGATGCCCTGCTGCCGGGCCATGATGCTGTCGAGCATTCGCGTCGATAGGGCGTGCTGGGAGGCGCAGGCCGTGGCGGCGAGGAGCCACGCCGGCAAGAGACGCATTATTATTTGTTGTTGTTCGGCAGTTAAACGATTGGAGAGTACAAAGTCGAGGGTGGCAGGTTAGAGGTGCTGCCGCCGTGGATTTCGTGCTTGCTTCTATGCGACCTGTGATGCTTTTGATGTGTGCGCGATGCACTGTGCTGTGCGCAAAACCAAGCCCATGTTGCATGTCGGTGAAGCGTCTCGAGCATCCGGCCCAATGGCTTTCATTCATCATTCGCGTGGAGTGATTGAATCTCCATGGAGACTGTGACGTCGAGTTGGTATGCGGACACCGACGGCGTGTTTTGTGGATTTGGTAGCTGGGATTGTGCATCTCCAGACATGGAGCGTGATTTATGCTCAGCCGTCCGTGAACCACTTGCACATCTTGGCATGCCGTCCCAACCTGGAGGTAAGGTTTGTGAAGAACGGCACTGAGCACCCCGTGCAAGTTTGTTCCAAATATTTGCAAGCACATACGGAGTACTTCATCCTCGTCCTCGTCCTCCTTCATCTCATCTATTCCCTTGGCGCCTGCCACGTCCCACGATGCAAGTCAACACCCCGCCCTCTGTCAACGTGGGCGTCCTCATCCGCCGCCCTCCACACGCCGTCTTGGAAGCGCTCGCCGACCCATCCATGACCACGCGCTTCTGGTATGTACACCAAGTCGTCGGGACGCATGAGCCAGGGCACAACCCTGACGTGGGAGTGGGAAATGCATGTACGGCGTCTCCACGGCGGTGTACGTTGACGCGGTAGTGCCCGACCATCTCATCCGCTTCCGATGGGGCATGTACGACGAGGATAGCCCGTCCACTGTGGAGTTTCGTATTATTCCATGTCCCTGCCACGACGGCACTGCGTATCTGCGCGTCGTGGAGACGGGGCTTCACGGGCCACAGCGACAGCCAGGTCATAAGGGCGGTCGGATCCACGGCGGGCTTCACCTTTGTGCTGAGCGCGTTGAAGGCCGTGCTGGAGCATGACGCGACGCTGAGGGTGACGGCAGATGCGTTTCGGTCAGATTTGAGCGAGTAGCAAGGTCGGGTGGTGTGATGACGGCCACGAACGAGGACGAGTTCGAAATGTTCGCACTAGTGACATGTTCGCCGGGGACTGGACCATGGAACCCGGGGCCATGTCTTCGTTGCTCTGCGTCTTGGCGGGGGCTGTTGTACCCTGGCCAAACGAAAATAGTAAAAACGAATGTCCACCTTTGTCGACTTGGTATCTGGCGTTTGTTTTCCTTTGCAGTACGGAGTACTACTCGAGCCGAAGTGACAAATGCAACCTCGCTGGCGGCGCATATCAGACAGATTCCGTCCGAAATCATGTCACCTTGGGGGAAAATCAAGTTTAGGCAAATTGCACATGTGTGTACCTGCATATGCTGCGCAACAACACGAACTCTGCTGCCGGAGCGGAGGCACGCTAGTGGTTGAAAAGCTTGGCCTGCATCCATGGGGCCCTCCATCATGGGTATCCGGCAGTGCTACACCGCAGCCACGCCGATGCACAGCCAGCGAGGGCAGGGTAGCCTTGCGTTTGCTTACAGAGGTTCTGCTCGAAAAAAAGGGGGGCCAAGAGGCAATCGTTCGTCTAGCGTTGCACATACAACAATACGGCTAGATAATGGCTCACGGTGCAATGCTATATCGGTCAAGGCTTGTGGGAATTATATACGATTCATTCTATGTAAAATATTCTGAGCCTGTAATATCCATTCGCCCGGTACGGAGTATTATAGCGTACAAGATGTAAAAAACAACCAAAAAAAGTAAAAATAGAAACAAGGCTCCGGTCATTATGTTCATTGCTCTTCACGTGCGGTCTGGATTCGCCACGCGTAGCGTAGGAGTGGTGTCCTTTTCCGGCAGAAACTCCAAGCTGCCAGACCTGTTTCTCCACGAGTACAGGCCGTGGGATCTCGAGTCGGAGAAGGGGTTGGACAGGTTGTCCAAGGAGCTTCTGGAGGTGCCGCCCGACCGGCCGGGCGTGCTCACGCTCGCGGCCGCGTCGCTGTCCTTATCGTCCTGCTTCCGGCGGAAGAAGAACCAGATGATGCCTATGGCGATGACGGCGACGCCGCCTATGCAGCCAAAGACGATGCCCAGCAGGGTCGGCACCTTGATTCCGCTGTCGTTGCTGTTGCTACCCGAGGAGTCGGTGTCGCCCGTCTGCGTCGGCATGACGGTGACGGTTCGCGCCACGCCGTCCACCGTCGTGACTTGCGGCGAGGCGGACGGTGCCGGCGTAGATGAAGCCGATGACGAGGCGGAATCGCTCGCCGATGAGGGTGTGGATGAGGCGCTGCTGCTGCTACTGCTGCTGCTGCTGCTGCCCTTGGTGCCCGCTATCAAACTCGCATCCACCAGCACGTAGCTGTATCTGCTTTTGCCGCCGCACATGTCGAACGGGTACCCGGGGCAGGGGAGGCTGCATCCGTCCTTTTGCGACGCCTTGTCGGGCGTGTAGTTTGTGCACCAGCAGTTGCTGGACTGCATCACCGCGTAGGCATACTTGCCCTTGCACGTCGAGGTGCACTTTCCCGAGCTCTGGTAGATATCGGCACCTGTTTGAAAGAAAAACTCACGGTTAGTTTACCTAACTCTATAGAAAACTGAACACGAGAAATGCATCTGGCAAGGGCGGTTTCGCTGTACTTGGGCTAGAGTCAGACGTGTTGATGTCTGCACATAGGTTCTGTGCCGAGCACAACGCCGCGAGCAGCGCCAGGCTGAGCACCCGTGAGGCGACCATGTTGTGTGTGATGTGTGGAAATGTCCCACGATTGGAAACTGGGCAAAGAGGAGGGAGGAAAACAGAAAAAAAGAATAAAGTAAAAAGAAACAAAAAAGAAATACCCGCTCGTCCCGTCTAATCCGTCATGACGCGATGGAAAATGGAAGAACAGGAAGAGAAAGGTCGGTCGGAGAGGCAATTATTGTGTGAACAAAAATACGTGCTTACGGCCGGAGGCAGCCTGTTCCGGAACGAAGCCGAATCCCCTCCCCTACCCCTTGCGTGGGATCCACTGCTGTGCCTGTCGTGCCTTGGAAGGTTGGCATGGCGTGAACTTTAACACGAGGGGTAATGATGTGTTGCACCGCGTCAATTTTTGTTGATTGCTGTCGTTTTTTCCCCTCTCTCTTTTTGTCGAGCGGGAGCGAGGATCCGGCGCTGCAATTGGCTGGGCGTTGGGGCCAATTCCTCTGTCTCGCCTTGCAGACGAACGCCATGGCGCTTTGTTCTGTTTACGATGCACAACTTTCTTCATTTACTCTGTGGGCCGCAGCGCGATTGATTGCACATGTGTCAGGAGCTAGGGGCCGGTGGCTGAGTTTGTGGAACCCCAGGTGCCGTCTGGTGCGTCCACACACGAGCCGACGGACCAGACATCCTTCAGCAGGACAAGGGGGGATGTGCAACACCAGCGCCTCGCCAGGAATAGTAATCCGCGCACTTGACGGTATTCTTCACCGGCCGGACATACAATAGGCCGTGTCGCGCCCGTACGATGGAGCCCAACATTCAAGCTTCCCAAGATGGCGCTAAATGCAGATCGCGATCCATTGCGACACCAAAACATTTTCCCCACAGGAAAAAAAAATCGTTTGTTGCCTGGCCCATGACAAACAACACAGCTGCGTGGTTTTTGTTTTCTCGCCGATGGGTTATCCTGCATTCGTCTAATAATGCACGGATGCTCATCTCCTGATTCGTCCTCTCAGAACCGCTATCGCTGCGGATACCATGCGATCATAGATTCTCTTCTAGACGCGACTTGGCTGGTTGCTTTTATGTGTAAATTCATGTGCTTTCAGTGTTCTTTTACTAGATTTACCAGACCCTTTATTTGAGTTACTAGCGCCAAGGGTATTTATTACCAAAGCAACACTGGCGTGTAAGCTAAGCAAATACATACTAGGCTTAGCCAATCATCAGCACCTGCTATAACTCTTATCCCAAATTTTAACATCGTCTCTCATTGCCAAGTATACTTAGCGTCAAGTAGAAAGGATCCTGAGCAAGTAACCGTACATATCTTGGAGCTATCAAGGCAGAATTCGGCATCCAGGTGAGCTCCATTGAGCACCTCGGGCGGAACAGATGCATCATGGTCAGAAAAGCTCGCGACCCAGTCTCATTCCGGACTGGATCTACCCCGTTCGGTGGGTTTCGCACTCTGCGAGCCAAACATTTGGTGCCGCTGCAAGTTGATATCCAGGCTAATTGCATTACTCTGTTCTGCGGCAGGTCCATGCGGGTCCATACAATGCGTGCGGCTCTCTCGACGTTATATTGACGGGACTCTCGAGCTTCTCCTATCATTTTATGTCTTAATACGCACAGTGTAGCTTCAGTGCATCGGCGCATCCTCATTCGATGATCTTGAAGCGACGGGAACGTCTGGTAGACGCTATAGCTTAAGAATAATAATTCCACCGGACGTCTCAAACATATGCCAGACGGCAAGTAATAGTAAAGCCGCCGCCTTTGGCACTGAACGAACGCCCTGGCGCTACTGCTAGCAACATGAATCACAAAAGTCCACCGAATGCACAGCATGCATCCCCGGAAGGCAGCGAGGCCCCAGCGGAGTGGCCACTACGAGTATCAAAAGATATCGTGCGAGGAAACAGGACAAGAGAAGAAGAGCTCATTGAACGACATAGCCTGGCTCTTGAGCTCCCGAGTTCGTCGCTGCCTATCTTGCTATTGGTCAATGGGTTCCTCGCCAGCCGGGTAGACCATGAGGGCAAGGCTACATGTAGGTGTTACACAAGGGCTTGTGGGTCGTGCCGCTCCGTCACAGCACTAACATCGGACCAGTTGCGCCACAAACCACGCACACAAGACCTGTACCTCATTTTTCTGCCACCAGACGACCAACGTTGAAACCTTAAGGCAAGAGTTGCCGTCTCCATGGCGCCAGCCAGACACCAAGAGGATGTAGGGCGAAATGGCGAGCACTTTGCTTCTTCAATCGCTGCCTACGAGTCAGATACTGACTATAGCTGCATCTCGATCGACTCCGACGACTTTGACTTCCCCGTTGTCGAAGCTCCGTCGAGCATAGAAGCGCAGAACGGAGCTGGCGTAACCGCCTCGATCGATGCGCAGCGGGTGCTCCCCCCGGCAGATGAACAGGTCCAACTGCTGCAAACTGCAGGTAATGGTGTCCAGCCACATGCGAACCAAGGAGACTCTTCAGCTCGGGGGGAAGAAGGTGTCGATAACGCCGAGCCTGAGCTGTGCCAGGAGCAGCGGGAACTGATTGATCTGATTGCCAGCGGCCGCAACGTCTTCTTCACAGGCTCGGCAGGATGTGGCAAGTCCACCGTCCTCAAGGCTGCCGTCAGGAAGCTCCAAGAGATGGGCAAAGAGTTGGGCAAAGAAGTCCACGTCGTGGCGCCGACTGGCCGAGCAGCCCTTGAGGTCGACGGTATGACGGCGTTCAACTACATGGGATGGAATGTCGATACCCTCAAGGATCCGATAGAAAAACTAAGGACATGGGCGCGAGGTCGCACTCGTAAAAATACCCGGCATCGTCTTCAGCGCACCGAAGTGCTCATTATTGACGAGATAAGTATGATGGAGAACCACCACCTGCAGCGTATGAACATTTGTATGAAGCAGATCAAGCAAGGGGGGCACCCCGCTCCGGCTCCGTTTGGCGGAGTACAGGTCATCGTGACTGGCGACTTCTGCCAGCTGCCTCCCGTGAAACCCTTTCAACATTGCATCGAATGCGGGAAGGAGATGAAGCAAGACGATTTCGAAACCGAGTACAACTGCCCGAAAAATCATGGTCCATTCAAGGAGTGCGACAAATGGGCCTTTAGGAGCAGGGTGTGGGAAGAATGTAACTTTATTTATGTGGAGTTGAAACAGATCCATCGACAGAATGATGAAAAGTTTCTTAAGATGCTGCAAAAATGTCGACTTGGGATTCCACTCTCCATGGATGAGACGATTACCTTGATGGATCCTAGGCGTCATGTCACCGACGCCACGCGACTCTTCCCAACAACGAAGGAAGTGTCTCGGGTTAATAAAATGGAGCTTGAGAAGCTGAAGACTAAGGAATTCACATACCAGGCTTTAGATGGGTTTAACCTCAACTACCACAAGGAGTTGGATGACCTCTGGAAGCACTTCAAGGACGGGACGCTGGAGGCCCTCGAGGACCACCGCCTAGAACGACAAGCGCAACTAAGGATAGGTATGCGCGTGGTGCTACAGGTCAATCTTGACCACCGAGCGAAACTATGTAATGGTAGTCAAGGAACAATTTTCGATTTTGAAAAGTATGATCATGCCAAGCTCCCCAGAGCCTGGTCAGGACGAACAGGATTTTCAGGGCTTCATGCGGAAGGCCCGACGATTTACGGGGAGAATGCAGCTCTCAGAGAACAACAAGTAAAGAGCTTCATCAGTCGGCAGAAAGACAAAGTGTGGCCTCGGGTGCGTTTTCACAACGGCCTTGAGCGGACTATTTACGCAGAATGCATGGTCACCTCGTTCGGTCACTACAAGCCTTACGCACTCTTATACCGCACACAGATTCCCCTTGTGGCCGGCTGGGCCATGACCATCCACAGAAGCCAGGGGATGACGCTGGACCGCGTTATTGTCGACCTATCGAAGGCATTCGAAGAGGCTCAGGTATACGTCGCCTTGTCGAGGGTGAGGAGTCTGGCTGGGCTTAAGATTAACGGTAGCTCGGGGGGTCTATCGGTTGGGCATGGAGGCAACGCCGACGTCATACGATTTCTCAGGGAGAAGTCGATTGCATCCGACCTCCCGCCTTTAGAGCCTTACGATCACTTGAGCTCCTAGCTCTTAAGTTTCAGCTGATTGTCCAAGGCGAGGCAGCAATCTGGCGGATTGCGTCTTACTTCTCCTGACCAATGTTGACGGCTGCTAGCTGCAAGAGAAGGCGACATGCAAGGCCCCGAGGTTCGCAATGCTGTTCGACTTGACTTGTTGAATGGGATAGTAGTATCATGGCGCCGTACGCGCCAGATGATATACTGCAACAAAGCGCTAATCGTCGAAGAAACCAAGGGTCTACTCCAGTGCAAAATGCTGTCATAGTCGATGAGTTTCGTCAGGCAAACCCCATCGCGCTTGAAGCTTTTTTTTTTTTTTGGGCGCGATGATGAGAGTGGCGATGAGCTTCAACAGCTTCAACACCGGCTTTGGCACGATTGGCAGCAAGCTCGTGACGCGGTAAAAAAAAAAATCTCTTAATATATATTTCATAACATCTTTGGGTATTATTTTCTCACAAAATGTAATCAATGGTATATATAACCCCACCATACCCGGACCTTGATGATGGCCGCTCGCCTAATGAAGATGCAAAAAACCTCACCCAAGGTCATCGTTCTAGCCCTGGTTTACTAAACCAATATCTTGCACTAGATAGTTCACGAATTTCGGCTCTTGCTAGTGGCGCAGTAAGGATGCGAGCATCGGCCACCAGACCGTTGGATTGCTTCTTTCAGCCAGTGCATGTGCCATGCCACCTCGGGCAGACAAATATCAGCTTTGCACAAGATACCACAACTCTCTTTGCATGCCCAGGTGTATGAACGGCTAAAGCTTGACGAGTCTTCGGTTGACGCCAGGACGGGTGGCCAAGTCTGCCGAGCTGATACTCCCCTCCCAACTCCAACCCGCGGCGCTAGCATTGAGGACGGCCTGGCTCCTCGCGCAGTCATAATTGGCCTTGCCATTGTAGTCCTGATTCCTATTTCTAATGTCTATTATGGCCTTCGTATTGGAGTCGTCATCTAAATGTCCATGGCCTCCAGTCCGCTAGGCTTCGCAGGATTTAAGCTCGTCTCGCGATACATCACGGCGCCGCTTCCGCCCGCTAAGAATGTCTTGCTCGTCAGCGTAGCGATGACTACTAGCGCCGTGCCCGTCACTGCAGGCTTTGTCGGGGGATTCCCGCTCTGGTGCATCTCGTCGGGTTGAACGTTGATGTGATGCTGCCATGGGCGATGCTGGTGCTTTAGAGTGTTTCTCTGTGCTTCTTTGGTCTCGTCTTTGCTGCTTGGCTAAGGCCGTATTTTATTCAACGGCAGAATTTACCTTGGCCTGGAGCCCGTGTTACCACTAATTTGATACATACTCTTTACCACGGGGCATCGACCCTTCGCGCGGACGGGGATCCGACACCAAACATCTCACCAGAGCAAGACACAATGCCGCACGGCCTTGAACTATCGCAAGGTGATCAGTCGATTCATTCGCAGCCCCTGCGGCGGTCAAGGTTCGCTACTCAGGCCGGTGGTGGGAGAAATTCCTTCCCAGTAGTGTTGCATTTACTCTTGGTATAAGCGACTAGTTGTCCTGTCCTGCGGGAACCTTGGGTATCTGAATCCAAAAACTACCATTGCGGTAGGGATGTACAACACACCATCTTTCACTATAACCCGTGCCATTGGTGGCTTTCTTTACTAGACGCATAAGTGGCGTAATGATAGGAAGGCAGGACATGTCATAATCTTTGCAAATGGACTATTACTTGGGGAGATTCTTGCCAGCCTTGCCGCAGTTGCGCTGACCGCAGCCGACAACCTTGACTAGGAGGTATGAAGCTCGTGGGAATGAGCATGGCCACGGACAAGGATGACTTCATTTAGAGAAGCAAATGGTTGGGTTGAATGGATGGGCATTCAACAGATTAGAAGCTGCATGCGTAGTCCCCTGCGACAGAACCTTTGCCGCCTCTCTCCCTGTTACACGGTTGGCACACAACAAAGGGCGTTGGGCCAACGAAGCTTGAGGTTACACAACAACAAAGGCAACGGTCACGAGGCCCAAAGTCGGTCACAAGCGAGGGCTGCCTCAGGCACACAGCCCTCACCGACTTCCTGTATTTACAAGGACCTTCTGTCCTTGAAGGCCTCGTGCTATACCGAGGATCTTTAATAACCCAAAGTCGATTATTATAGATTAAATTGAACCTTCCGTTCCAAGCCCAATCACCCTGCCCTTGTCACACTCCCGCAGTTGTGCAGCGTCTCAATTGAACCCTACCGTCGTTCAGCAAGAAATCTTTCAATCTGAAACGGCCAAGTGATGAGAAAGTCCCGAGACTCACTTGACATGCCTTGGAGAAAATGGTCTCTGGAAAATCTTTGCAGAAAGTCTAGCGTGTGGAGATATAAGCGCGATATCTTGCCTCCCCGGGAGACAAGTGTATCGTGCGTCAATCTTCACACCAGTTGATTTTTATAGGCCTATCAACGGACACAATGTTGCATGACCACCTAGGTAAAAGGCATCTCTGGGAACAGTGCTCAGAAGCGTGCGGTGTCTGAGGGTTACACACAATAGTTTTGCAAAGATACAACAATGCAACTATTGTGTTATGTGATTAAAATGCGGAGGCGGACCGCCGGTGACAAAGGAATCTGGTGTGTTGTGAGGATACCCAACTGTCAAGACTCATACCAGGACTTGGAAGACTTCCGAGCAGTCTACCAAGCAAAAGATGGAGAGTCACTGTTCGTCCATCGAGCCTTGCATTGGCAGTGTAAGTTGTCCGACTTTTCTGACTCACGCCAAGTACTGACTGCGGTTGGGCCGTTCGCCATGTTGAGCGGCTCCAGTTCGCTGAACATGTCTCCTATAATGCGAGCCCCCGAAGTAACTGCTCTAGGTTGGTATTAACCACAGAGGACTATGCTATATTTGTCTGACTTTTCGTCCAGCTATGCAAATAACGTCCGACTCCACGGTAATCCAAAGAAAAGAACCCTATCCAGTAGCCGCATGCATCATTAGAGCTCCTGATATTTTGGCCCGGAAAGACGGCACTCATCAACCATGAGCTCGCATGACGCAGAAACCGACTTGCTTCTCGTCGAAATGGCTCTAAAGGAAATGGCAGCCGCCGGTTTGCCGCATCGGGTGAAGGCCGGAGCACCGGTCTACTAACGAAAATTCGTGGACGCGATGATGGTGGAGCCCTTTTGTTTTCTCTAACTTGCAACTAGTGAATATGCGGCCATATACGGATGTGCCTTGGAAATCAGAGTGGTCTAGCAAAAGCTTTGAATCTTGGATGGGATTGCCCCGTGTCCAGCGGGCAAAGTAGAACCAATATAGGAGATTCTCGATCCACGAGCGCATCTGGTGAGAGAATTCGATCTGAATGCCAAGACTGCAAGGCGATAAGGATGTTGCATCTTGTCATCCTGTGCAACGAGAGGTTCCATGGCGCGCAGATGTGCCCCTTCTAGCTTCCTTGTTAGTGTTGCCTCTTTTGTAACTAGTTATGCGGCCTTTACTATCCAGACGGGCAAGTGTTGCAATGGCAGCCGCTTCCGTCCAAGCTACTCCAGCCTATCGGCTTGTCCGGAGCGACTTTTCATCTTGCCAAGCCAACTTGGCAGTTTATCAACGGGGCCAAAAAAACTCGACGTTGATGAATTCAAACATCATCGTGAGACAGTCCTGAAGATTCTCGGCTCTCTTTGTTTCTGCGTCGAATCTGACGCGTATTCTATTATTCTATTTTAAGCATCTTGGTGCCGCTATTATGGTGGCGCATTTTGATATTACTCAGGGATGATATGCGCAACCGTGGCGGCATCGGTCACACATTGTGATGCCGCGCCCAGGGGCAGAATTCCTCCCCGTCTACCATTCTTCCGCAAACAGACACGTCCCGCGGGACTATTGGCGATTCCCGTGCCACAAAGTATCAGCTCACACGGCTATTTTGAGAATATTGTATTAGTATGGGCGGATCCCCCCCCCCGGCTCGCGGTGGATTGGTATCGTGGATGCTCATCCACCACCTCTCCACCTGCGCTGCTGAACACCGAGGTCTCACCGTCCGTCAGCATTCCTTCCACGAAGCTTATTCATTGGGACCTTGGGAAATTTTTTCCCCTCGTTTTCCAAATGCCTATATAATCGAGGTGTTATGGCTGCTGGATCGATATCGTGTCCAGCTGAACAATCATTTGTTACTCCTCCCAACTGTATACACTCGCTCCAGTGGACGTTCTATTCTCAAGAAACTTTTTGAAAAATTAATATCCATACTTGTTTATTCTTTGTTCGGGTACTGTTCGAATATTCGTCAACATGAAGGCCTCTCAAGTTCTCGCTGCCGGCGCTCTCGTCGCCCCTGCCCTGGCTCAGAACCGCACCGAGATTGTCACCATCACCGACACTGCTTATACTACCTACTGTCCTGTATGTGTTGGACTCGTCATATCAATATGTCCCATGGCCTTTGTGTGCTAATATTATCAGGTGCCTACCACTATTCCCATTGGCAACATGACTTATACCGTCAGCAAGGCTACTACTCTTACCATCACCAGTACGTTGGCCCTGCTCCCTGCTTTCTTGAGACCATGTTGCTAAACCGTGCTGTAGATTGCCCTTGCACCTTGACCAAGACCGGCTGGTTCAAGCCCACGGCCACGCCTACGGCCCAACCCGTGTGCCCCGGCGGTGAGGATTGCGGCCATGGCGGCAACGACGGCGGTAACAATGGCGGAGACCATGGGTGCGATGGGGAGGATTGCGGCAGCAACGGCGGCAATCCTGGGGGTAACGGCGGCAACGGCGGAGGCAGCGAGTGTAATGGAAAGGACTGCGGTAACAATGGCGGCAACGGTGGCAACCCTGGAGGCAACGGTGGTAATAATGGTAATAACGGCGGCAACGAGTGCAATGGAAAGGACTGCGGCAGCAACGGCGGTAACCCCGGAAGCAACGGCGGTAACCCGGGAAGCAACGGAGGCAACAACGGCGGCTCTGGCAACCCGACTCCGGCGCCCCAGGGCGGCTGTGACGAAAAGACCGGCGCTGGCTGCCCTGCTGACCAGACTCCAACCGGTGCCCAGCCCACCGGTACTTCTGTCGTAGTTGCCGGTGCCAACGTCAACGGCTTGAGCGCCGGAGCCATGGTGGTTGCTGGGTTTGCCGCCATGATGCTGTGAGAGGTCCTTGGAGGCGACGAACACATCTACTGATCAGGTAGTATACATTTATAGGGCCACGACGCTCGTACACACATTTTAATAATAGATTTTTATTCGTACATTTCGTAACGGGGATATCTCTTCTATGCTCAACACAGGAAATGCAACGCAAAAACTCAGTCTAATCGAGTCAACCGAAAATTCCAAGGTGCCGGCTTTCCAGCCCTCGCCACCTTCTTTTTCGCCTCCAACCCTTCTGCACAGGCATCTCCACATGAGCCCCTCAGAAGAAAAGAGGCATGCTCGCCTGGTTCTCATAATCAACATTCGACGAGCCACACTCAATCCGGTCCTTGCAGGTGCCAAAGACGCGGTCCCACAAACGAGTCTGCTTGCCATAGTTGCCGCTCGACTTCCACCCCTTGCGGTGGTGCAAGTCATGGTCCTCGATAATAAGCTCCGCGTCAAACATGCGCAAAAAGACAGTCAGTACATTAGGAGGCGTGGCGTGAAGACGCAGGCCACTGTGGCCAGCCAGCTCCGCAAACACAACGTACTGGTGGCAGATCCACCACTCGTAAAAGCCCATGGGCATGCCCATGAGCTTCATGGAAAAGTACGTCAGCAGCGGGATGCCGGCAATGTCGAAAATCTCCTGCTCCGTGTCGGCGTACAGGGTCAGCAGCGGGTTCGGGTGCTTGGTGAGGTGGTGGGTGCGGTGAAACTGCCACAGGCCGCCGACCTCGTGCATCAGGCGGTGGTACCAGTAGAACCAGAAGTCGAGGATGATGCCGTAGAGCCCGGCCTCGAGCGGCATCCACCACCAGCTCATGTCGGCGGGGGCCTCGGCGGCGCGGTAGGCGAGGAAGACGGTGAAGACGGGGCGGAAGGTGGACGTCGAGACGAGCGAGCGCATCACCTTCCAGACGCCGACGTCAGGGACGCCGTCGCGCTCGTGGGCGTCGCCGTCGAGGAAGCCGTGCCGGTGGCCCATGGCGCGGAGCATGTGGATCTCGCGGATGGCGATGAGCTTGAAGGCGACGCTGTAGAAGAGGAAGGCCTGCAGGGCTGTGAGGTTGACGCCCGTGTATTGGACGTAGAGGTGGTGCAGGACGAGGGGGAGCGCCGCGTGGAAGATGACCCAGCGGTGCATCAGCCAGTCGGACAGGTAGGGCACTTTTTCTGACTTTTGGTGCACGGGGACGTCGTCGTGCAGGTTTGTGGGATGCACGTCGATGATTTCGTAGAACCAGTGCGCGAGGTTCCATTGCCGGCGGTCCTTGCTCCGCCAGGTAGACTTCATGGAGTCTTTGGGGTTGGGCTTGGTGTCGGACATGATGGCCGCAAGGTGTCTGTGTCAAGGGCCAATGCCTTTTTTCTTGCTAAAAAAAAAAGAGCAAGCTGGTTCACAGACGGCCGTGTTGAGTTTGTCTGTAGTGTGAGGTGTTGTTCGTCTGCTTCAAGTTGGAGGGACGCGGCGGCCCGGCCGTATATTATATGCACGACTCGCCACTGGAGTCTGACTCTCAACCAGGTGTAAACCTAAACTTGGTGGTGCGTTTGTGGAGAGAAGACGGGACGGAGGGCCGGACCATCTCTGCCATCCTAAAAACATGTGAAGGGGATCAGGCCTCTCGTCAAGCGACAACCCCAGGTTTTTGGCCAATGGCATTCTTGTCCAGATGCCCCGGATTGGATTGTGAGAGTCTCCGGATTTGACGGCCCCCCCGCTGCGTCATGTCTATTTCGCGTCTTGGAACTAACACGCGGCGGCACAAGGTTGGGATTTGCAGGGAGAGTCGTCGGACATCAACACTCTTCTTCCTCCCTTGCAAGCCCTTGCTTCTACCTGGCCACCTGCTTGCTGCGGTTGTCATGAACCATCCAGCGGAATAACTTGTAACAGCTGGGTTAGGTGTCGGGCACAAGACGCAGACAGAAGCCCCCCCTTTTGCAGCCATCATGACCAAACAGTCGAACTTTTCAGCCTCAGGGTCTGGCCTCATTGTCTCGCCCCTCGATGCCATGTGGACGGATCGGATTGCACAGATCTCAAAGAGCCAGTGGGCTGATGCCCCCCGTGTTTCCCTTTCCTAATCCGGCAATGGTTGCGATTGCGAGCCACCGTGAGTGGTGGGCTGGAATCTCTGTGGCGCCGGGGTCGATGTCGCCTGCGACTGCTTCCGTTCACGTGTGAAAAAAAAAAAGGTTCATTCTTCTCATGTTTGGTTGGTGGGGTTTCAGTTTTACCCACCAGTTCACGAGCGTCTCTATTCACCCAATTCATCGAGCCTTGTTCAAAGAGCCTGTCAACTACAAACGGAACATGACGGATTGACATGACGAGTATTAGCGAGCCCCAATGCCCATCGAATCAAACCTCAACATTAGAACAGGTCTCCTGTAGCTGTGCAAGCCGTCGTGTCCGAGTCCTCATGTGCGTCTTGCGCGTTTCGTCGACTTGCCGCGTCAAAAGATGACTCTTACGTTTAAAGTGTTTCAGCTCACGCAATTCACAACCCAGGCGGCAACGCATGGTCAACGTCATGGCTTACCTGTCAAAGCACGAGGTTATCCATTTACATGTGAAAGGGACCTCGAACACGTGCGGCGTGGCACCACCACCGGACTTGATTAGTAGCACATCCCATCAATGATCTATTATGCCAAATAGACGGCACCTGACAACGGGCACCTTCACCGAACCCAGAAAGGCTTGTGGCACCCCCATCGCCACCCGCCCCTGATGGAAAGCTACCCCGGATAATGATACAGGGTGGCGAGTTTGTGACCGCATCTCCCCATTCACTATACCGTTACACCAGAGGGCAAAAGAGCTGCTAATCATCTTGGTCATGGAAGTTCCAACTTCGTGACACCCCACATGGCTCCATGTGCGTGTAGGATTTATAAAGCCGCCAATTCATTGGCTTCGATATCCAAGAATTGCTTTTGTTGGTCCTCGATGGTGTCGTGCAGTGCGGTGCATGTATCTCGCCGAGGCTTGGCCTCATCCCAACACTGCGCATAGGGTGGGGGGGTCTTGCCTGACAAGTTGATGCAGTTTGCAACCAGACGTCTTTTTATACCATGTCCCAACAGGGTTTCACAGCTTCAATCGCACAATGGTAGCGGCGGAAGTCCTGGACTGCTATAAACCGACATGATTGTAAAGCGCCCATTTCCATACAACACTCGGCGCAACGTCTAATACCCGGCGATAGGTGGCCATGCAGCCCAAGTGTTGTAGCCTCATTTTACCTAGGCCATCCCAAATAATCATGCTGTGTGGCACGGCATTGTAATGTTATCCTCTTCCTTTACAAATTTGCAGAAATCTCAGATTCCGGCCACCTCCGTGCTTAAATGCATACTTGTCTCACTACTTCGTACGGCCTTTATAATGCTAATATTAAACTGACTCGGTTACCCACTAAGACCTACAGGAATGACTATCGCCAAGAAGGCATAATCATTCACGGCCCACATGAGAAATTGAGTAGTACCAGAATATTACCCAAAACTCTAGCTTGCAGGCTTAAAGTCAGGCTCCAGAGAACTGGCCGGATGCCCATGATTCGTGTTGCGGGTGTTATAATAGACAGACTCAATTCGTACGAGCAATTCAACGCCCTTTAATAATTCAGAATATACGCACTAGATGGAGATGGGGACTAGAGATTGTGCTCGAGGACACGATACACGGAGACACTAAATAACATGTTTCACAACTACCCCCAGCGCAGCTATTTATTTTCCCCTTTACAACAATCACCTCAAAATAAGTTAAAGGGCTTATTTACATTTAGCAGTCCACTGTCAACAACCAATCAAACGTATATATATACCTATAATAAAGTCGTTAGTCGAGTAAAGTACCTGGAGGGTGCGAACCTACATATATACCGATGAGATTTGTCTCTTACCATCAGAAACCAGTCAAGTAGACCACATGCCCGCTGCAAATATCAGGTGTTGCTTGAGAGAGGCCTCCTCACCGCATCATGCACGGCCATACAGTTCTTGTTGCGATGCAGTCCTACTGTATCATCTCCTACCGCCATTTAGCAAGGCAGGCCAAGTAGGCTAGGTGGGCAATACAACTTGACAGGTTATTCAGAGCACAACGGTAAATTATTACTTGTACATATGCATAGGACTAGTTGAAACGAGATTTTTGTATATATATTATATTTGATTGGCTCAAAACCCACACGCCACCCACACGTCACCCTTTTACTAACTGTGGGTAGATATGAGCAACGGTGTAAGCGTAATACATTAAGGCGTGCCTAGTTATACACGTAATTGAAAAGTCTTTAAGCTCTTTATTAGCTAAATACAAAAGAATTGGGAAAAACTCAAACACTGAGAATAACGTAACAACTCAAAAGTTCCGTATTCTACCTAGCTAGGTTATATCTATGGTCCTTGGGTTTTACATGAAACCTGTATTCCCCAAGTATCCTCCTACTGCCTGCTATTAGGTGCAAGTAAAAACATATACACAACATCTATTACTATTATTAGGCCAGTAAAACCAGCAAAATATTTATACTATATTAGTTCGTGTCCGAGAGTTCGTCGAGCATTCTAAGTGTCTCCAAGTTTTCTAGCTTCTGCGACAAAACTCCGGAGCATGCTGTAAGTCGCTCTCAAAACGCATGAGAGGCGGCCGCACATGGTATTCTTCCCAATCACCCACCCATCGTAAGCTACTCTGTGGTTCCACGTACTCACTGATATTCATATACATCCAGCCTACGCTCTCAAATTGGCTTAATGTCACTGCCCTTCCCAGTAATGGGTGCTCTCTGTTCCTCTCTCCTCCTCATCTTTTTCATCCTCTCTCCTCCTCATCTTTTTCATCCTCTCTCCCCTCAAGTGATTTCCTTAACTCCTCCCTAATCTTGGCAAGCATGCGCTCCCAAGCAGCATCGTCATATTCAGGGATATGTGACAAGGGCCAAAGGCTCGGAGCATCATGACTCAATTCATCTAATAGCAGTCTTTGGTTT